ATGGAGAAACTGGACAGCCTTGACTGAGGTTGCAAAAGCAGATGACAGTTCGCCATAAGCTCCGACCCGACCGGTAGTGTTCGAGTAAAGAGTCTTCACAAGGTTTATGTACTTCTGAGGTACGCCTTTCAACGACAGACACTGCCACAGAATCTCGCGGTCTACCGAGTCAAATACTGCTTCTAAGTCAAGAAAGACCACCATTGTCGGACGCCGATAAGTATGCCTATGTTCTAGAACCTGACGAATGGTGAATATGTGGTCTATGCATCCATGGCCAGGTCTGAAGCCAGACTGATTTTCTCGTGTCTGCAGTTCACGAGTCTTAGTTGGGCGTCCAATAATTATCGGGGCTAGTACTTTACATACTATATTAGTTAAATTAATCCCTCTATGGTTGTCACAGGATGATTTTAACCCTCTCTTACATATTGGGACGACAAGTGATTGCGACCAGTTAGATGGGATAACGTCTAACTCCCAGATCTTAGCTAAAATATTAGTCAATCTAATCGCTAAAATTGAACCACCATCCTTAAAGACTTCTGCAGCCAATCCATCTGCACCAGCTGCCCTTCCTCGTTTCAGATTAACTATAGCCTTTTGAACTTCAGCTAGAGTTGGGGGACCTACATCAATGTCCCATTCACACTGTCTGGGAATGGAGGGTAGTTGTAGAGTAGCTGAAGGCCAGCTGAACTGTTCCCTAAAATGTTCCGCCCATCGTTCTAAACCTCTGGACCGGGAGCAGATGAGAGTGTCGTCTTTTTCCGAAATAATCTCACTTACACTTGACTTATTAGTTCCAGTTTCTTTTACTAGTCTGTAAAGCTGTCTTATGTTCCATAAAGCCGCCGCCTTTTCCATCTCTTTTGCTTTCGTTGCCCACCACTGCTCACGATCGTTCCTTAGACTTTTGCTTAACCTAGATCTGATTTGTTTTCGCTCTTCATCGTGTTCAGAACCCGATGGGATGAGTTTACGAGAATCCAACAGGGCAATAGACCTTGAAGGAATCCATTGGTTCTTTGTAACCCTGTGGCCTAAATCACTAATAGATGTCACTGCTGTTTCCACAGCTGCTTGTATATCTTTCCAAGCAACATCTGAGTCAACCTCGTTTTCAGAACTACCTAAGTGTGACCTCAGTTGTTCCTGGAACCTACTTTTGGTTTTCTCGTTACTCAATTCAGTTCTAATGGGTCCTTTTTGTGCGGCTTTTTTGCGTCCAGCGAAACGCCAACAGATGCGTGCCCGTATTAGGGCATGGTCGGAGTCCAAGCAAGTACTCCAGTATGAGCGACAACCTTCTATCGACGCTCTCCAACGATGACTGATGGCAATATGGTCTATTTGAGTCCATCGTTGGTTTGGTGCAGGCGGTCGCCATGTTAGACGATGTATCTCCTTATGCTTAAAATTAGTGCTTGTTAACAACAAACGATTGTCTGGGCACGGTCGCAACAGACGATCACTATTATCTGTTCACTGAGACAGAATACCAAAATACCCACCCAAATGTCTTTCTCTTTGGTTTAAGCTACCTAACTGAGCATTAGAGTCACCTGCTAAGAGTACTACGTTTGACCGTTTAGCTCTCTGAAGAAGTTCAGAGAGCTTTCTGTAAAATTCATCTTTCACTTCATCCGAGCTGCAGTCAGTGGGAGTGTAAGCAGAAACGGTAAAAAGGCAACGACGTGTGTCCCTATCCTTCCTAATTCTTACGGAGCAGTTTAGCCGAACAGCACATAAACGACTGTTAACGGGGATCCACTTTAACAGTGCTTGTTCCGCCCTCATGCTTAGTGCTACGCCTACACCTGCCAGTCCACGAGAACTGGCCATCGGGTCGCCAGGTACACGGAGAGTGTATCCCATTGGCTCTCCGTTTTGCCAAGGTGAGGCCAAGTGAATGACCACACTGAAATCCTGTATGCGTGTTTCAGAGACACAGCATACATCAATGGTACGAAATTCTAGGGTTCTAGCCAAGGAAGCCTGTTGACCGATCTGACATAGGGTGCGTACGTTGAAGGCTCCAATGTGTAGTTTGGAGGGAGGTTTCAGTAGACCTGGGACAGTGTTTTGAGCACTAAAATCGTTGGCTATGGTGACACTTGAGGGGGAAGCCAAAAAAGGAAGTTTAAAGGTGAAAGTCGATGTAGGAGCAATAATAGGAATTGAAGACGGAGGTTGATTATGAATACAGTGGTCTTGAGTGCTGTTAGAGGTATGAGGGTGGTTATCACTTCCAGGTTGCCCACACCGTCGAAGGGTTGTCCTGGAGGTACCTGTAAAGGAAATTGTATTAGAGGTGGTCTTAGTGACCTGGAAGCGTGACCTCAGTGCTCAAGGGGCAACTGCTTGAGGTCAGTCACACGACCTTTTTATGGGTAGTTTTTGTGTTAGCTCCGTACTTGTTGAGACCTTACTGCCGGAGACGGATATCCGTGGGATAAGGCGAGGTGTGCATTTTTAGGGTCAACCTTTTCTAACCCCACCCCTCCTTGTGGGAAGGTAGCATCACTGTCATGCTAGTTGTCTGAAGGAAACACCTTACTGCTGTCACACCTCTGTACAGTCAGCAGTACGACTTCGCCTTCGGACCTTGGGTTTGTTGCTTTTAGTCTTACCGCTCTTCAACCGACCTGTCTGACATGGTAGGACCTTGAGGAACGGTTGTTCCAACCAGTATAGCTCGGTTGCTTTATCACGATAGGCAAGCCCGACTACCACGTCAAGGTAGCAACAACGGTTGGGAGAGCCTCGATATCCAGCTGACAAGTAATAGGGAGAAGCATACATCCTGGATTTCACCATTAGCCACAATCCCCTTATTCTCAATCTAATATATCAAAGTTCTTGAGACGAGTTAGATTCTATTCTTACAAATGTTAGTGAAAACGAATGAATTTTGTTTGGTTGGTAAAGTGAATAGTAATAAACAGCTGAAACGAACTGAAATGAAGGAGTGGATTAATATGATCATAGAACTCTCTTTGTATTAATAATACACGAATACTTATATGAACATTAGGTGTTTATATTTCACTGAGCAATGAAATATTAAAATACAGGACTTGGCTCACAAGTGCGAAGAATTCATATTTAGTAAAATGATCACTATATACATTCTTAAGTAACCTAAATTTACAAAGGAAGAGGTGGTTGAATGAATTGTCCTAATTGGTCCAATAACATAATGAACCATTCACAACTTTCTTTAAATCATAATAAATCCCGAACAAACCATTTCATTAATAATCAAATCGTCAATAGTAACGACATTCCACATAGATTTATGGAATTTCAAGAGGAAAAACCTAATTTAGAGTTAGTCAACAAGAGGGTGAGCTAGCAGCTCAACAATAACATCGGATACGGACAAATTAATATCATAGATTGACTGAGACCAAAAAAGTCTAATATTGCATTCCAACTCAGTGACATCATATTAGACAAGAGAACTGGAAGTAAAAGGTTTGATCCTGTGTACAGTCGCAGGTCGACACTCCTGAAGAGCACCCATTGAGATACGATAAACGTGAAACCATGTTACAATCTTAGCGATACTTAGTATGAAATTCGTTTTAACTCAAAGTGATATCTGTTCAACATGACATCAGTACTTGTTTATATTAATTCAGTGTGGTGTTTGCCCAGTGTTGTGCAGTTCCAGTTGCATCCACATTTTTCCAGTTATGTATGCTATTTGTTGATTAATCATCAAACATCAGTAAAATCTGAACATGAATGATTGTATTTTGTCCAATAAGTTGCTGTCGTGTTTATTTCCTTCAGGAGGATGAATAAAATCTTCACCAGTAATCGCTTTTCCCTTTTTTTCTGCATCATACAAACCTATCCCCCGTCTTTTTATTACTATAGTTTTCAGTTTTAGCAAAATCAAAGTAGTAATATTTTCAGTGGATACCTGTTCGTGTTTTTTTCTATTAAAACTATCTGACAACTATTACTCTTTAAATAATTTTACTACTTAAAAATCTACAGGTCAATTTCCCTTTGCTCTAATCATGTAAAATCATCCTGACTTTTCCAATTTAATAGTTAAAATATCACGGAACAATCCCAGTTAAAAAAGTCACTGAAAACCGGGAATCAGTACAAAGTTGCTTCGTCCTAGCATGAGACTTATCAGTAATGTGTATCTAAAACCCTGACAGCAGGTCTCGAGCCTAAAATCTTCGGTATTCAGTACGAACGCTTAACTTGTAGACTATTGGGCTGAAATTCGATAGCTTACATGTTTAACTTCAATCAAATTGGCGCATATATATTTGGTGCCCTCTTGTACCAATATTTATGTGTTCAAATAAATAAATAAAACTATGACCGGATGATATCAACTATTCATCATTATAGTATAATGATTTGACAGTCAATTGAGTCAATAACAGGATAACAATAAGGGATATTTGCGAAGACATGTAAGCATCGAAGTTTTATAACAGTACAAGATTCGATAGTTTCAATACTTCTTATGTGTATGATTTCAATGTATATTTCATACCAATTATTCATTAGCGTTAATTGTACTAAGTAAAACACTGAAAGTTAGTAGTATATAACAAATATTACTTTTTCTGAGTAAGCACATATACATAAGGTTGTAAAATATCAATTAACTTGTACTTTTCAAATACAGATACTATTTACTTTTTGTTATGAAATATTAAGACACACTTGAAAAGTAACAAAACATTTTATAAATGTAACCCAAAATGAGTGTTACTTCCTCTAATAAACAAATGTCATAATACTCGATTATTATTGTGTGGTGCATATATATTTGGTGCCCCCTTGTACCAATATTTATGTGTTCAAATAACTAAAACTAAACGATTATTATTCACATCTTTTTATACCTTGTAGTGGTAATAATAATAATAATAATAATAATAAATGTTCCGAATGAATTATATAACATCCAGTCATTAAATTACTCATTTCCAACTACTCAATAGAAAATGTGACCTCAATTACTATGTAATCCGTATATTTTGAAAATAGTTAAAATAAAAATGAAACACAATGAATATCACAGTGTTATGCATGCATTTATGTATTGTGGAAATGATAGTACAATACAGAAGCAGTAATAAACAAACAGAAAGAAAGGAATCAACTGCACCTGTACAAAGGTTTATAACAGTTAATAGTAGTGTTAGTAGTAATAATAATATTACCGTTGTTTAACAAATTTCCTACTTAAAATAGCAGTGCTCAAGCTAAAATAACAGATGAATTAATGATATACTGGCTTATTAGTAGTTAATACAGTGATATTTGACAGTTGTTTATTATTTTCCAAAACATTTTGTTGATGTATATAACCAGTATGAGGATCTAGTACAGGTGGAGATCCATGAAAGAAGGCAATCTATAGGAGGAAAAATAAGGAATGCAAAAGCATCATTTAGTAAACGAGTGAAAATAAATAACAGAAATAAACAGTTGAAATGGTTAAGGACTGAAACAATATTATGCTGTTAAGAACAAACTGAGATTACCATTAATTAAACTTCGACTAACAATCAGGTACTATTTATAAATAGTATTCTACGCAAGATACTCAACATTCGTTGGTCAAACACCATCAGCCTACTCCGGCAGAGAACAAACCAACTTCCAAATGAAGAAAAAATTAGGGAAAGACGCTGAAGGTGGATAGGAAACAAGGCGGAAATCGTCAAACTGCATCACAAAGCAAGCCCTAACACAGAATCCCCGAGGCAAAGGGAAAGGAGGTAGACCAAACGACACTGCGCCGGAAACTGTAGGCAGACATCGAAGGAATGAGTAGCAATTAGAAACAACTGGAAAGGAGAAGTCTGGTCGGCGGCCTATGTTCCACGAGGGGTAACGGGTGTAAGTACCAATCACGTGGTAATAATGACGAAAAAACCACGACCTAAATATGTGGTTGTCAGTAGACACTTTTGTAGTATAGTAATTCCAAGAAATGAACGAGAACACCAGAAGTGGCTTTTTCAGTCATCTAATAATAATCAATGTAGACACTGGCATAAACGTCCGTTAACTCAAGTTGCCAGACCATAACAGTAAATTGAGATGGAAATAACAAGATACATGGAAAAATAGTCGAAATAATAAAGTAGCAATGATAATGAGTAAGAATGGATATTATAAACAAGGATTCAAGAAAACGGATGAAAATGTATGCCAAAAGGAATACCGAAAACCAAGATGTAAAGGAAAATAAAAAGTGATTAGATCGGCGTTATTATGATCCACTCTTGGACCCCGACCGCAGCTAATCCTTTGATGTGTTGGTCAGTTTCTGTATCGTGGTGACCTAATTGACGTTTGGTGGCAGTAAGACGTCCCTCCATAGACAATCAGAATCTGCAGTAACCTCGTCACCTCATAATGGAAAAAGAGGGAAAAACGTCTTGACAACACCTCAGTGGCGTCACACCATTGTACAGCCAACAAAGCAACTTCATTCTCCGATTTAAGTTTTACTACTCTCCTTGGTATGATAGGACCCTAATTGAAAGTGTTACAACCAATATAGCTTGATTTAGCCATCACGATACACGAGACCGATCACCAAGTACAGGTAACCGATATGGCTACAGTATCCAGACAATAAATACATTATTGGCTGAAACGCTTAATTACTGGCCAATCGACAAAACTAAAATAATTGAGTTCCACATAGAGATTTCCAAGATTCGGCACAATTAAAATCACGTTATTTATTTATTTACTTTTTCCTTATCACATTTATATACTAGGCTTTGAATAACACTCTATGAAGGTTAGTAATATTACACAAACCGAATCAGATGGCGACGGATCCAAACCAATGACTAAGTGGTAAAAAGTTGAGAGATTTAATAACTAATCAATCAGCTTAGGCTTAATGTAGATTTCATAATGTGTAGTTTAAATATATATTATTGTTTAGTGTTTACGACACATTCGATAAATAGGAGTATAACAGTGTGAAAGGACCTTAGATAATAACAATGTAAACTGTGTTTTTAATGGAAATCTATCTACGAATGATTATGCGTTAAATATTTGATATTCTGAAAATTATTTTAAAAATAACGACATGAATTTTAACAACTTACCATTAGAGCTAATGAAAAACCAAAATGTACTACAATTATAATGATCATTATTGGTGTTGCAAGCTGAAAACAAAAATAGGTTGTTAGTAATTTACGGTGATGTAACCTTGAAACATGTCTAAAATAAATATAAAAAAAATTGTATCCTTTTTGAATAATGAACCAACATGTTTGAACTGTCTTCCTAGCGAATTCGTATATCCCTAACCAATTCTACACGTCATCTAGAACACTGGAAAGTGCGAATTGCGAGTAAAAGCTCCAATCCAAACTTCGTCTTTGTACAGAAAAAACGATGTTATTAATGGATTTAAACACGATTTTAGAATTAGCAGTATATTAGTAGTATAAGTAAATGTCCAGTCAAAGCGGTGGCACATGATTCTGCATTTTCTAGATGTTACTGAGAAGATTCTATTCAACGATGACTGGCTAAGACGTTTCCTACAGTTTCTGGGCCTCTAGGAACTTTGATGCGGAATATTTTTTGGATTCCAAAAGAAATATAATATACTGATGGAAACATTTGAGTATAAGATGCTACTGTTCCTCACACAGAAATGTTTAAATCTGTGTCAGTTCCATAGAGTGTAAGCCAAGAAATAGGCAACTTGTACAACGGATAATTACGCGATTCGACTTTCACTTTAGTGACTATTTTAGATAACTAATAAATTTACTTTCTCTTATTTTGTGATTAAGTCCTATGGAATGTAATCATCGACTTTGATATTTATTAAAAAGATGTTGAATGATAGTTTTCTAAACACGGAGTACAAATACATATGTTGATTTAAGTTAATTATATTTATATATTGCTAAACATCAATGTTATAATAACCAGGAATTCACATTCTGTAATGAAGATATGTATACATTATGGAAGATTAGTCTAGATTTGTCATCTCATTGCAGAACAGAAACCTAGGACTTCGTATGTAAGAGAATTAAGTTGATACCAGGAAAAAGCTAAACTATCAGTTGATCGAATTCAGTTGCAAGGATTTAAATATCCCCAGTTATTGATGTTAAGGATCGATACTCATTCGTTTCTTTTGGCATGTGAATCCTGAGAGCATTGCTTCAATATTACTATCAAGTGAACAAAGCGTTGAGTGTTTGAAAGAGAGAGCACTGAATTCTGATGTGAACATCAACACAGAGGTCCAGGTACATCCATCTAGTGAGTCCCAAATATGATGAAACGTGAATCCGCGTTTCCACTGTTAGTCACTGCTATCCGGATCTGATTAAAAATATTGTCCCATAGAACTATTTAATAAGCAAAAGAAAGGTGAACAAATACAAAAGTGAACAATAAAATAAGATACATTCACCTTTGGATATTCTTTGCGTATACTAGGCATTAAAGCAAATACTAGGAATGCCCCAGAAATTCCTATTCCAACTAAGAACAATAACCATTGTAGTATATCAATCTGAATTGTCCATAAAATCTATGAATTGTTGGGGAAAATACAACACAAATAATAATAATGATAATAATAATAGTTCAATTGGAATAACAATATTTTCATGTGCAAAAGATCAAGTCTTCATTTTTGGGATGAAAATATAACTTACGTTGGACCTCACTATCACGCATTACAGTTAATGTGAATCAGTAAAGCGATATTTTACTCTGTGATCCAGTACCTGAAAGTTGAACATTTGGACCAATGAACAACAGATCTACTTTCAAACAAACGACCCTAATCAGGGTATGGTCAGAGTCTTAGGGTATGCTCCAAAAAAGAGACAATGTATAAGTGAAACCAATGGTAACACGATCTATGTTTACTGTAATACGAACGACCACGTCAAAAAACAACCCGATGTGAGCTATTATTTAGCGTTCGTGAACAACCATAACAAAAGGCCTTCGTTATTAACTTGACAATACTACTACCTAATTATTCACCTCGTCAAAATCACCTCCTACATACTCTACGTTAGAATAGTCTACTCTCATCAGCCTGCAACCAAGTGGTTTTCTTACATCTAGTTAGGTTGAACAAGAGAAGGCCCTATAGTAGCGGAATCGAGTTACAGATTAACCAACATGATTATTATTTGTAATTAAATTTAAGTGTAACCGGATTAGACATCGGATGTTATTTCATATTTGAGGAGAAATATACCCAACAATGAAACCAAGATTACTTGAACTGATACCACCACTTTCAGTTGAGTTTTCTACAAGTTTAATATTAAACACTCAGTTTGATTACACAATCACGTTCTAAGTAGTTTATTATGACTATCTGGGACAAACATAGTTCATTATAATGTGATAACCAGATCACAGTTTCAGAAGAGACGCACATGTTGATACTAAGTGAAACTGTTTAGTATTTGTAATGCAGAATCATAGCTGTTTATCCAAAAGAAATAGGTTGATTCAGAAACAAATAGTATATGCTGAATTGTTAGATGCACTTTGTAATCTGATACAAAATAGTGCACCAAAAATATTAAACCACATAGTTCAGTAATCATATTAGGAAACCCATAAACATAACTAAACTAATACCAGTAACTAGACAATATATCAGAAGATCAAATAGAAGACAGATAGCAATACAGTAGTGAATCAATGAAAGGAACATAAGCATAATAATATCAAGACACAATCTGACAAGCCATTACCCATATTTTGAGCTTTTACACATGATAAACAGAATTATTACTATGAGTTGATAGAGAAGATAGGAACTACAGGCTTCGGATATCCTGTCGTGTAAAAGATCTTATAGTGGGGAACAATATTAATATATTTCCAACTACGAATTTCTGACTACACAAATTAATGACTTCCTGTGCAAACTGTTGTAACTCACAGTTTGAGGAACTAAATATATCGAGGTACGACGTCCTTAATATGGACAGGGATCAAACGTGATTAGATGTCAGATGACTACAGCATGAAGATAATTTGAAGATGACGAATGCATCTAAGTAATAAGGGAGAAGACAGAACTGTGAATGACAGCTCTCATCTTTCAAGGAAAAAATGGAATACATGGGTACCACAGTATAAACAGTATTTTACAAGGTAGAACAATCAATAATAAACGATGTCAGTTACAGGGTACTGTCATGTAATATGTTGAGGTAAAAAGACCACAGTATTTGTTTTTGTGTCTTATACACCCCAGCATAAGCATTTAATTGACTATAAATTATGACTTAACTATCACACGATAAATGTATCCCTACACTGAAATGTTTACGGCTATTATTATGAAAAATGTAAACAAGGGTACTCAAAGTAAGTAAACATTAAGGAACATGCATTACAGCTAGACAGACAACAAAAACATACACAAGATAACCTAAATTATCAATAAACAAGTCATTTACAATTACTAAAACCACTAATGTAACCAGCATAACTCACTGCAACAGGAACGAAAACTGCTAATGAATAACCATAGGTCGACAGAACATCGAAGAATTTATTTGCATTTTTCGCATTGTGAAATGATGATGTATCAGTGTCGGAACGTTCCAATAGGTCAGTGAGATCGCTTTCAGCATCGTTTGACTGGGGTTTCTTGTTTTTACGATGAATGTGCATAACTGCATGCAACATCAATGGTGTTAGCCACCAATACACATAAATGATAGTTGATGTCAGCGTAACTACGAAATTAAAAAGTGGATAATTAATACTCAGTAAAATGAAAAAGGGTGAGTGACTAACTAGTCTTTTGATTAGCTATAAATGCAAACGTTGGTAGTCGATGTGGACACCATATTATAGATACTAGTTTTGAAACCGAAGATCTATCTCGTGACACCACTATAACAACTGATAGAGGAAGATGCAGGGATTGAGAACTGGTGGTCTTTAGGTTAAAATACTTGTCCCTGAACCAGTATATTTTGTGCCCAAACCCGCTTCACCTGATTTGATTGTAGTATTACAGATCCTACCTCTACCACTACGGGATTCGAATCGACAATTGTACCTCTGTGCTGATGTGGTATAGCAACTCGTACTGATGTACGTACGTACGAAGTTCTACGTTGCCGCTGGCTGACTGACTGTGGATCAAAGTTGAGTGAATAAACGTGCACTTGATGTATGCATTCATCAAACAAATGATTGCGAGTCCACTTTAATTAAGAATAGCGGGTAAAAGCTTAAAAATAGTAAACCTGAAAATCGTGAAGTAGTAACCCATCAAATAGAAAACTTTACGTATTCATTACCTATAAGAACAATATACGCAAACATGCTGTAAATCTACTGACCATTCTAGAATTGAGAAACGTAACATGTAAAGGGGTAGTATGTAGTCTTTTAAATGACGCTAGGGAATAATTATTAAAGAAAAACTATCACTATTAAATCATTTGACTTTGAGACATTACTGCAGGGTTAATGGAACTTTACACAAGTAAACATGAAGCTTAGGAACGGCTTATAATAAACTGGTTGAAATTATGAAATCATTATGCTAACTAATTTCAATTGCTTTATTACAATACTTTGAGGTACTGAACAAAATGCCTCCTGAAAAAACTTCCTTTTTTCAAAGTGAACTTACAACCTAAAACACGCAATACTATTACGACCCTGAGTAAATCCTACTCACTTAAACTAATCCAATTAAATTCTTTGTGATAATGTGAATATATGTTGATGAAATTTGAACTTTTTCTTATCAGACAGATTGGTAGGATCTACTTTTAAAAAGACTGGTTTCCTGAGCGTTTGGTAGCTCTTTTAAGAAACTACATAAACAAAAATCATGGGTAATAAATGATCAACTGTTTGCTACTTAAATGAATCATAAATGTTGAAAATCTCAAATTGAATGCAACAGTGCGTAAAATGAAACACACCTTTTTGAAAATCATAATGCCATGAAGATACCTCACGACGTGACTGCAAATAGTTGGATATATTCCCCCCGATGGCAGCAGCTAACATCAACGTAGTTGAAATCCAAAATGGACCATAGAGATCAGCTCGAGGTTTTAGAGAATGTTGAATGAAATTTATACGCGGATTAGGTATGAATGCAGAGGCAAGACGATGCAGAACCTACATAATTATGTAAATGACTATGATAAAGGTTTTAGCAACAAAATTTTACTCGTACGCAGCGTTAAAATAAGGATAGAAATGATTACTTTCACTCTCAAGCAATGACTTAATAGCTTGCCTGAACACAAAAGACTAAGGTGTTATAGGAAATGTATTACACTTCTCAGCGTTATGTGGGCAAGCGAAAAATATGGACAAAAGCAATCGGGACATGACACATTCTTATAACATTTTCTCGCCAAATGCGTGATTCTTGAATGAACATTTAAACAGACTGATAATGACCACTGGACTATATTGTGGCTCATAGATCATATCACATCTCACAGCTAACACTTAATACGCTTGAGTCAACATGCTAATTATCAGGTTATAGATAAAAATTTTCCGCAGAAATAACTTTATGTAGTGTTTTGATAACTCATCCTATATATCATTGCTCAATATATTTTAAATAATGAACGCACAGCTGTCCAATGTACTAGTCGCCGGCTATATATCGGTTTAAGAAATCGCTTTACGCACATTCATTTTACAGGATGTGATACCACAATGTGTTAGTGAAAAAAATGGTTTGTATACTTAAAACGCTCTAGTAACTGAGGCTAGTAAATTTAGTACACATTCAAATTATCCTAAGTGTACAAATGCATTTTAAACTATCATAAATGATCTTTAGCACTTGTTATTTATGAACTCCGTCTCAGACTTTATTGGTACTGAGACTAAAAAGCCCATTTAAACACGAAAACTGATTTAGCTGTTATCAATCACAATACCTCACATGAATAAGTAAGCAAGATCACAAAAGTTTTTTGTATACGCAGTAGTACTTACCTGACTTGTATCAACATCGAAGTACTGTTGGTAGAACTTAAAGCTGAAAGGACCCAGGCTTGATTCCGTTTTTGGACTTTCAATGTTAGTCTAAAGTAAACTGGTGTAAAACTGGCTTCTTACATTATGTTCTAAAGTCCCTTGAAGTTCTTGGTCCACTTGATCTTCAAAACTCCCAGAAAGTGGTATCCGAACATAATCTCCGTTAGACATCGACATGCCAAAGTATAAAATGACCAAAATAACGGATTGTAGAAATGGAATTGTTTCTGTGTAGCCTGTCAGATGATAACTGCTAATTTATTATCAACAAAAGAAATAGTTTTTAGTAATCTACTGACCGACTGACTACCTACTTGTAATGTAGAATATTAAACGTATTAGGATGTTGTCAAGATCTATTACTGGTTAGTCAAACAATCAGCATTAGTATAGAAAACTTGAAGTCATTTTTTGTCCTTATTTGGTAAATAAGATCAACCTATTTGATTAGTCCTCTTAGAACCTAGAAAGCCGATGTTCCTAGCTTCCCATGGTATATATTGATTTTAGAGGTAAATTGTTCAGTTTTCACGAGATCCAAGTCGATCTCCATTCAACATAATGACGATGAAATGAGGAAAATCAAAAATATGCTGGTGGTTGGAGTAGTCGATTGTGGAAAAGTATAGAATCGCAAAACCTCAACTCGTAGCCCTTGTAGGGTTACTCCTGGTCCGAAGCCCAGGTCGATGGAAAAGGGGTCAGCAACCCCATCCCGTAGAATACAACCTTGCTAAAAAAGATAACCAAAAAAAATTTAAACCATTCAAGCTCTGCCATGTGGGTTTAGGGATCTTAATTTAGAAGTATGGTGTGTCGCAGTGAAAGCTGGGATTCTTTATAAGTAAAGGGGTCGATGCGTTTTCTAACAACCAGAGCAACAATAAATACAGGCACATGAAATGCCCGGTCAATATGGGATACCAGGAGGACCAATCAAATGGCTACGGAAATGAGGATACAACTGGGCAGTGATAGGGATAAGTGGAACCCATCAGACCCAAGCTAGATAGAAAAGATTATATTCAGGAGATGCTGTCGTGCTATGGTCATGAAGAAAATGCTTAGCGCATGAAGGAAGTTTCTCTAACGCCGTCCAAAGAAGCACGTAAAGCATTTATAGGACGGGAATCTCGTGGATCCAGGATCACCAAATCATCCTTCAAAACAGAGAAGGAAGGGATCACAATAAATGTTATCCAGAGCTATACACCCATCACTGATAGCAATGAAGACGATAAAGGTTAGTTTAGTGAAGCTGCAGTCGACAGTAGAGAAGTGAATAGGAAAGAACAAGAACATCCTGATGGGAGGCCTAGACGCTAAAGTCGGAATGAACAACACCGGATTTGAAGATATGATGGGATGATATGGACTGAGAAAGAGGAACGAGAACGAAGAAATTCGCAAATTCATGTGCATTCGAAAAAATGTTTGCAGGTGACACTATATTCCCCTACAAACTGATAGATGCATTCAAAATGAAGATTAGTGTCAGATAAGGCTGCTTACTCTCTTCCTTTCTCTTTCTTCTAAGGGTCGACTGGATTATGGAGACCACCACATATTAGGGGAAGCACCGAATACAATGGATAGCTTGGACGCAGCAAGGGGATTCGGGCTTCGCAGATGGAATAGCTCATTTATCCCATACACAGCAACAAACACAGGAGAAGTAAGACAGTGTATCAGGAGCCTCTGAAGCAGTATGTTTTAACATACACAAGGGATAAACTAAGATCCTTAAATACAACACCGAGATCGAAACAGTCACGCTTGATGGAGAAACTCCGGAAGACGTCGAATCTTTCACGTACCTAGATATCATCATCGAGAAACAAGGAAGATCCGATGCAAACGTAAAGGTGAGGATTGGCAAAGCTAGGGCCGCATTCCTACAATTAAAGAACACATGGAACTCGAAGCAATTGTTAATCAATATCAGAGTCAGAATCTTCAATACGAAATTTGAGACAGTTCTACTGTGAGGAGCTAGAACTTGAAGAACTACCACGACCATCATCAAAAATGTACAAGCATTTATAAACAATTTTCTGAGCATGATACTCAGTGTCCGTTGGCCAGATACCGTCAGCAACAATCTACTATGGGACAGAACATACCAGCTTCCAGATGGAGAGGAAACTAGTAGATAACGCTGAAGGTATGATATACATTGCAGAAACCATCAAGCTACATCCCGACGTCGGGAACTGGAAACAGACATCAAAACAATGAATAGTGACTGGAAACAACTATGGAAGATTTATCAAGACACAGATCGATGAGGGATCCTGGTGAGAGACCTAAGTTTCTTTACAAGGAGTAACAGATGTAAATAATTAATAGAATAACAATATATATTGTTAGTTTTGCGAACTTTTTAAAACCTATATATAGGTTTGTTCATTGACGTGTGTAAATGACCCAGAAGACCAAAATAGACTACCCTTGTTGAACACATGTCTTAAAAAACTACATGTTTGCTACTAATATAGCATTCCTACAAAATGATGACGAACTCGAAAATTTTGGTAATCCCGCGCCACAAGGCTGGCTTCACAAGGTCAATTGCCCAATAATTACCCATTTAGCCTTACATATAAAAAGTAATAGGTTTTTCGGTTTTATGCATTTGTTCATTTTTTAGCTCTTTCACTGAATGAACTGATAACACGTTCAGGCGCGGCGGAATGCCACTCAGCTGTTCAACACAAACATGACTTAAAAGCACAAGATTTTCATGAATCACTACATACTAACTTGAGTAAATTTGTTTTGATCGGATGACAAGATATCCATTATGCATCAATTTCTTTACCTGTTTAGTCAATATCAACCTGACTGGAATAGATAAATGTCACTTTAATGGCCAGATGCTAGTAAATTATTTGAATGATTTGCCTTTAAGTCACATTTATTAGAGTATTATCACTCGGTAAGACTTACAAATCTTTTTAAAGCTCTTAAATATTCAAACACTTAGTGTTCAAGCGATGATTGTGCATTACCCGCCAACCAGTTCCTACATGGTTTTCACATTTTTACGGGAAGTTCGCATCTTAATGACTTCGGTAATTTAGGTGCTAATATCTAGTCTAATTTGTGTTGATTTAAGTGAAACACTGCTATATAGTCAGTGAAGTCACACAGATTATCAATAAAATTACAAGTAGTCTCCATCACCATTTTACTATTGTAAACTGACTATCAAGCGTCGAATAATTTATCAAAACTCTCAAAAGTCACAGTGAAACTGGAGAGTATGGACGCATCATGGTTCATTCGTTCTTCCTCTTCTTTCTTCTGTTAAACGTAACTATGCTGAGCAAGTACGTATTGTCTGGACTATACCATAAAATTTGAACAGATTGGTAACCATCTTCAGGGCATAGATCTCACTGGTAACTGGATTTTCCAGCTTAACATAATAAAATATAGTTAGTAATACTTACTCAATCAATTAGTGTCTGACCAGAAAATGTGTACTTCTAATCCGATAAACTACTTTGTGACTTCGTATGTGACTAAATGTCTCCACAATAATCATTGTCGGCCAAACCCCATTATTTTCAGGGGCGTACGTCTGCTTCTGTGTGAGTTGTAACTCTCCATATTTAAGTTCTTATGTACCTTCATTGGCCAGACACTATTAGCAACAACCTACTGCGGGAAAGAACAAACCAAGTTCCAGCAAAGGAGCAAATCAAGAAGAAGGTCTAGAACCGTACAGGATACACATTGAGGAAAGCACCCAACTGCGTCATAAAACAAGCCGTCATCTGGAACCCTCAAGACCAAAGAAGAAGAGTTAGATCAAAGAACACATTACACCGAGAAATGGAGACAGATATGAGAAGAACGAACAAAAATTGTATAGAAATAGAAAAGAAGAACCAGGACAGAATGGGTTGGAGAATACTGGTCGACTGTTCATGCTCCACTGGGAGTGACAGGCGTAAGTAAGCAAGTAACTGAGACCTCCATATATTCATTACATACACTGTTGCTTTCTCAACATCTTGACGTCGATGAATATATCACGCTCAGGTAACTGCTACATAAACCTCTTATCCACAAATCACATTTTGTTCCATATGCCATAATGAGGTAGCATGTTTTAGGCCAGTGTTAGACATTTCGCCTATGGCACTGGACTAATAGCCTTGATATAATGTGGTTCACTCGTGACAATACGACTTCTTAATCTATGCGATCTTACGTCCACGTCACATCGTCCCTTTTATTGGCTCACCTTATAGTGGCAGTCGGAAGTATTATTTGTGAGAACATTTGAAAAACACATTAAGGCTGCTGAGATAATATATTTGATATAAAGTTAAGAGATTTACAATGAAAACACCAGAACAAGTGAGCCATGAGATCTCTAATTCCTTTCCTCACCAATCCCTATTAATATTGACTATTCTTCATCCATGAGTCAACGTTCAGTGTTGTCCCATTATCAAAATGAAACTCGCGATAGAAATAATGTTTATATTAGTCACAGCGAACAAACTAAACACGAAAAATGAAAGACAAAATTCAATAGTCGAAGTAAATGTGTGGAACATTCTTGACGATTCTTGGTCCACAAAAAGTGCTGAAAATGAGCTGTTGTCAAAATTTTAAAGATAAGTCTGCCAATGTACAGTGAGTTACTACAATTTCGCTGCAAATTCGGATATTTGGAATGGGCAAGTTTTCACATTTATGTACTGTGCCATTCGTTTACTTGATCATGTATGAGTATTTGAAATGTACGTATCCTACATATATTTGTTTTCCAGAATTTAAGTTAGCACGAACGGAATTAGGTCAATGAAATTAATCATGTTCTATACATGCTTAAATTTGCCATGGAATTCTAACACTTTTGCACTGGTAAACATGGGATATGGTAATGATATCTACTAGCGCAATACATTTCGAACAATCTGATCACACACTACATACTTGTTAAGAACATTTATATATAAAAATAAAAGGTCAACTGGACAGGAAACGGGGTAAGCGGAGATATGGATAATGATAAGAGTAATAATAATAATGTGAACACAATTTGATACTTAATCACTCTGGGTAATAAGTCAATATTACCAGGGTAGGTTTAAAGTAAGAACAAACTGTTTTTGAACACACAAAGAGGGTTTGAATTTTCGTATGGCTAAGGCTTCAAAAAACCAATTTAAATGTGTGTGTGGTTACACATACATAAGGAGGAGTAATCGTGATCTCAAAATTAGGGTGAGTGAACATGTACCCAAATGGCTTCAGAAACGAATACAATCGAGTGACCCACTAAGAGCAGAGGATAAACATCCATCATCCTCTATTGCTAAACATATAATTGAAACAGGTCATAAGCTTGATTTAAATTCAGCTTTTGTAGTGTTGTATAAAAGTGTGAAAGGGCGTATACTAAGGTTTATTGAAACCTTAGCCATACGGAAATTCAAACCCCCTTTGTGTGTTCAAAAACAGTTTGTTCTTAACTTAAACCTTACTTACTTACTTTACTTACTTACTTACGCCTGTTACTCCCAATGGAGCATAGGCCGCTGACCAGCATTCTCCAACCCACTCTGTCCTGGGCATTCGTTTCTAGTTCCATCCAATTCTTGTTCATTTTTCTCATGTCTATCTCCATTTCCCGGCGTAATGTGTTCTTTGGTTTTCCTCTTTTCCTTTGACCTTCAGGATTCCATGTGAGGGCTTGTCTTGTGACGCAGTTGGGTGCTTTCCTCAATGTGTGTCCTATCCACTTCCAGCGCTTCTTCCTGATTTCTTCCTCCACTGGGATCTGGTTTGTTCTCTCCCACAGTACGTTGTTGCTAATAGTGTCCGGCCAATGGATCTGAAGTATTTTGCGTAGACAATTGTTAATAAACACCTGTATTTTCTGGATGATGGCTTTCGTAGTTCTCCAGGTTTCTGCCCCATATAGTAGAACTGTCTTGACATTTGTATTGAAAATCCTGACCTTGGTGTTGGTTGACAGTTGCTTTGAGTTCCAGATGTTCCTCAGTTGTAAATATGCTGCTCTTGCTTTGCCGATCCGCGCCTTCACATCTGCATCAGATCCACCCTGTTCATCAATGATGCTGCCCAGATATGTAAAGGCTTTTACATCTTCCAAATCTTCTCCGTCAATTGTGATTGGATTGGTGCATTCTGTGTTGTATCGGAGAATCCTGCTTTTCCCTTTGTGTATATTGAGACCTATTGCTTCTGAGGCTGCTGCCACACTGTTCATCTTCTCCTGCATCTGTTGTTGCGTTTGGGATAGAAGGGCCAGATCGTCTGCGAAGTCTGGATCGTCTAACTGCATCCTATAAGTCCATTGTATCCCGCGTTTCCCTTCAGATGTTGACGTCTTCATGATCCAGTCGATCACCAGGAGAAAGAGGAAGGGTGAGAGTAAACAACCTTGCCTGACACCGGTCTTCACTTCGAACGACTTTGTCAACTGTCCTCCACGCACGATTTTGCAGTGTAATCCATCATATGAATTCTGTATGATATTGACTATCTTCTGAGGCACGCCGTAATGTCGAAGAAGTTTCCGTAATGTTGTTCTGTCCACGCTGTCAAATGCCTTTTTGAAGTCAATGAAGTTGATGTAGAGTGATGAATTCCATTCAATTGATTGTTCCACAATTATCCGTAGAGTTGCGATTTGGTCTGTACACGATCTATCCTTACGGAATCCTGCCTGTTGGTCACGAAGTTGGGCGTCTACGCAGTCCTTCATCCTGTTTAACAATACCCCGTTGAAGACTTTTCCCGGTATTGAGAGAAGAGTGATGCCCCTGTAGTTATCACAGTTGCTGAGATCGCCTTTCTTCGGTATTTTGATCAGGAGTCCTCCTTTCCAGTCTTTTGGTACTTGTTCCTCATCCCAAATCTTATTGAAGAGAATGTGGAGTATTCGTGCAGTTGCCGCTACGTCTGCTTTTAGTGCCTCTGCTGGGATGTTGTCTGGTCCTGCTGCTTTGCCACTTTTGATTTGTCTGATGGCCATGCTGATTTCGTCAATTGTTGGTGCGCCAACATTGATTGGGAGGTCCGTGGGTGCTGCTTCGATGTTGGGTGGGTTCAGTGGAGCTGGTCGATTCAACAGTTCTTTGAAGTGTTCTACCCGCCTGTTTTGTTGCTCTTCAATGTTGGTGATTACCTTGCCTTCCTTGCTTTTCACTGGTCGTTCTGGTTTGTGGCGATTTCCAGAGAGTTTCTTTGTCGTGTCATACAATTGTCTCATGTTTCCTTCTCTTGCAGCCTTTTCCGCCGTCGTTGCTAAATCTTCCACATATTTACGTTTGTCGGTTCTGATGCTCCTCTTCACTTGTTTGTTTATTTCCGTGTATTCAGTTTGTGCCTAGGCTTTTTCTGCTCTTGTTCGGCTGGTATTGATCGCTGCCTTCTTGTTCCTCCTTTCTAGAATCTTATCCAGTGTACCAACAGTGATCCATTCCTTGTGGTGGTGCTCTCCACAGTAGTTCCTTCTCCATTGAGTAGATCATGAAAGGCCTGGAACTTGTTGCTGAGGACTATCTTGAATTTGTTGAGTTTGTTAGTATCCTGGAGAAAGGCCGTATTGAACTTTTGTGATACTGTCTGCCCCGTTGTCCAGTGCTTCTTGAGTTTCAATTTCATCTTGGCGACCAGTAAGTGATGATCTG